TCAAATCAAAAACTGACAGCAAATGGAAACTTGTAATCAGTGCTTTCTGATATATGGATAACAATATTATTATGTTTGTGCAAGTATTCTTAGTAAAAATGCTAAAAAAATGTTTGGGAGGAAAAACATAAAAGTTGCTGACTCGACAAATTTTTGATATTTGTTTATCTTTATTGTGGGGGCCCCTCTGTGGAGGCCCCGGAGCAATAGCCCTGCCTGTCCTTCCCTAAATCCGGCCCTGCATACGCAGACCGATTTTATTATCTACAGATAGTAATCTTAAAATACCAATGAGGAAATATGAACCTAAGTGAAACTAAACGTCGTTTTCGACTATTACTGAAACGGGTGTATACTCGTATATCTGAGAACAGTTTGTCTCGTCATAGTTACTGAATAGAAAACATGTGTTCTGTTATGTAGGATGAAAAAACGATTTAATTATATGACAATATCAGTCTCAGTGGTTTTGGTATTTATAAATACAATACTTATTTCTTATAAATATTTCAAGTAATCATCCTAAAATATTCATTTTTGTATATCAGTGGTACAGTAGACCCACTATTTTTCTATTATTTACTAGTTTGTTGAAAAAAAATATAAATATTCTTCCGTGACGTTTTTATTTTGTCGCCAGTTATTCTCTCTGAATTGGGCCTCTTTAGGCGAACAATCTGTATAATTAAATCATTCAAATGGCTAAAATTGTCTGCCGTATAGACAACAATCCGGATGTCACTTTATCAGACCACCTACACTCTGAGGAAGTTAGCCATTGGTACTCTACATTTGATAAATAAAAAACTGAAATTATTTCTACTCAGAATGGAGATATAACAACAATTCGAGTGATAACAGTGTCGAAGATCATTCTTTTGCGTGTCAGTGCCCTCAAATAGTGGATACAAATCGGTTCCACCCGAATTTCTTAACAAGAGATAAGAATTAACTGCACGAGACTCAATCACTACTAGCTATAACTATCGAGTGAGTAAGAATAACTTTTCAAGTGTTAAACAGATGTTTTCCAAGTTCAGTGCCCAATGAAAGGAATCAGTAATAAGTTAGCGTAAGGGGCGATATTTGGCTTCTCTGAAATTATCCCTTCAGACAAAAGACAAGGTTAGTTTTCATTTCGATTCCATCCTTGTAACTTATGAATTTCGACAGAGGCGTGTTGCTGATATTTTGCTACAGGTGGCTTCAAACAAGACATAATTGTTCAGAAAAAGAAAGTTTCTTTGTTTTATTTCACATTATTTTCATGAAGAGTTAAATTATGCGTTCATCATTTATGATAATTGAAACTAGTCAGGAATGAAAATGTATTCGAAATTATCCAAAAGTGAACAAAAACCAATTTTGATAAATTTATATCATCATTATTAGTAACTTTATCTCTCTTTAGCGAGATATATCATACCAACTGGTCGAAGGTAAGTAACAAATATGGGTTGCAGGAACATTTTCTAATTAACTAGTTACAGGCTTTCTTAATGAGTTACATTGCTCGTTGTTAATCACGAGGTTTTGCTGGATGAGCAGAAAAAAATAATTTTAAACATTGCTTTTCTATTTCTATGTATTTTGTTGGATTAGTTTCTGAAATGTATTCGAACAATTGAAAATAAAGAGGCAACTTACGTGAATTATTTAAAAAAAATCTTTTTATGTAAAATATTTCATTTGAAAGATTATCTTGTACAACAATATAATCATCAACAGAATTTTCTATAATATTGAAAACGGGAAGTTCACGTAGTTCTTATATTTGAGTTAATATTTTTCTTGGATAAATATATAAATGTTGATGCTGTGGATTTTAGTAAATTTAACGCACCTGTACTGACTTTATAGAAAACAAATGAAAATGTGACCTTTACTGATACATTAGAACTAGAAATTGGCAGGAATTATTAAATCTTTACTGACTGTAAATGTATGTTGAAAAGAATTGGCGGATTTCTAATGAAAATTCAAGTAACACTCATTGTGAGACTTTTACTATAAATGTTTAACAAAAACCTCGACACGTGTTTCGCTATACTATAACTTCCCTAAGCTGATGTAGGTACCTATTGTAAAGCGGAACATGTGTCGCAATTCTTTGTATATCCCTTATAGTAAAAATCCAGTCAATTTTATCAATACAAATATATGTGATTCACATGCACTATGCATATGACACAAACTCTTGGTATTTTTGACCCACCATAAACCATCAATCTGTATTTGTTTTCATCGATCTTACATTATTGTCTTAGGGAGATATTGAATTTTTGGTTTGGAATGTTAAATTACATTTTGCTAATATTTTACTGATGTATCTAACATTTGTTGACATTTAATTAAATCATAACCTAAAACTGATGGCATCTGTTTGATATACCATTAATATATTAGTTACTATTTAGCTACACAATTCATTATTACTCTGATTCATTTTCACTCGTCTTCTATTGAGATTCATTAATATATCACTCGCCTATTCACCTTCATTTATGATGCTTTTGTCATTAAGAAATGCATAAAATATATTTTTGCAGTAAAGAACATTTCTGAAACAGTTTTCCAGAAATCAAATTGTTATTCTAATTTGTAATTGCAATGTCCGTGCATAATAAGATCATGAGTTGTATACCTACTTAATTTATTTTCTCACTGATTTTCTGGAAACACGAGTAAGTATGAGGTGAAACACTATGTTAGTGGAAACCTTATCGTTATTCATTTGACAGAACATTTATGATTTTTATGATGTAAGGAATTATGTTTTGTGTGTAATTTTCGATTACAAAACATAAAATTTAACCTGTATTTTCGTTCTCAGGAAAAAATGTAAAATTTTTTATCGCCGATTTGTCAGAAAACTTCTACATAATATGAAACTTGAATAAAGCACATCAAAAATTCGAAAAAAAAAACCTTCAGTTATACAGGGAGGATACAAAATTAGTACTGAATGCAGGTGTGAATTACCCTTATATTTTAAAATTCAAAAAAAAGAGTTGTTTGGTTTGACATTATTTACCCGAATATAAATTCATAACCTTCCAGTTTCCAAATCAATTTTATTTACTTTTGTTGCCAATTTCTCGTGTTTCTCTCTGGGTAGATCGAAAGGAATAACAAAATTGAATTTTTCCAATTAGTCATTTTAGTTTTCTGTGAATGAAAAATCATTTCTGCCATTTTCAAAATTGAAATTTCAAAACGTGTTGGCTCTGTAAATATCTGTATGTGTTTTGTACGAGCTGGAGAACGGAGGATGGACAATAAATTTCAATATGTATTGATATTTACATTCACATTTTTGTGACAAAATCGAGCATCGATAAGGATGATATCGTTTAAATACAAAATTGATTGAATAAAACAAAACTAAGTGAACAATACATCACTTGATGCCTTACTGTACGCATTCCTCATTACATCTTTCTCCCCTGTTCTTTGAGAAGTTTTTTACTACGTACTTCATCACTTCGCGTATTATAAAGTAAACTAAGTATGGTTGCCTCAATTATTCTGCTTCGCTCTGTAAAAATGTCTAATGGGATGAGGTCAGGAGACATAGCGGGCTATAAAAACTCCTTATACCTTCTCTCTCATCAAAAAAGTTTGAGGTACTGTAAAACTTCTCTGATACTGTGACAAGTTGTTTCATCTTGTTGTCACCACGACTGTAGTCTCTATAGTCCCAATAACTTCACAAATTTGTAAATGTTATATTTTCTCATGTTTTGTATGATTAACGTGGGTTCCGAAGTGGATTCAACCTCAAGAAACACATTCTTTGCTTCAGGTCTGGAAATATTTTTTTCAAGAAATAATTTGTATATTTGCATCTCCTTGTAAAACAGAGAAAAATACCTGAAAAGTAATTTTATTCAGATGACGGTGTTCATTTAATTTGATACAGCTGGAATTAGATTACTCGAATTTATTTTCAACTATATGAATATACCACGGCAGGGGTTATCACCATGTCTCAGCCCAATTCTATAAATAATTCGAGAAAACGAACGTATCTCGTTTATCAAATAAATACTTAGAACTGTAGGCTTTATCTGTGATTTGATTACCTAATCTGTCCAATGGAAACATTCGAAGCATCTGATGGAGTCTGTAGCGACGAGAAAGCTCAGCCCCAGAAAGACGCCACTGTTTTCTAAGGAACCTTTAAGTGAAGGTTTCTTTCACTTTGTTTTCTCGGCTAAAAACGACGGGACTTCGCTATCCAATCGTTTCGGAATGAGTAGGAATGAGTCTTAGGTCCAGTAAGCCTACAGTATAGTCACAATATAGTGTTCAGCTAGTCCAGGCCGTCGCCCCCATTTACAGGGCCGGAGCAGATTCGCATTCGATTATTAAAAGCATGTTCGTTTGTGTTACAGTTGAAAAGCATCGTGTGTGATCTGATTTCGATTTTCCCCTATTGTGTTATAGATGTAGTGGAATGTGAACGGTTTATTTTTGTTTAGTGCACGTGTAGAATAGAGGTAAACAACCTTTTTCATTTGCATCTGATGGTATTCTCACTGTAATATTGCATTTTGTTTTTTTTTTAATTTACAATCTGAAACAAGATTTATGAATCTCTCCTTGGCGTACAGGTTAATAAGAGAATAGGAAGTATTTGTTATTGTTTTCATGAGTAAACGTAAATAGTACAATTTACATAAATGAAACAATAACAAAAATTTATAACATATGCTTGATGCATATATGATACATTATTTGTCTATTCATTAACATCAATAATCCTTTTGAAAATTTGAAAAAACTTTGAATATCGAAAATGTCACGATATTGCGAAAATCAACATTTTGCAATATAGGTATCCACTAGATGCCAACAGAATCAACAATGATAAATTGTATTTGAAACGTTTTTCCTGGTTCTCTAAAGACTGTTTTTTCATAACCACAGAATATTATATATTAATCTGAATAATAAATATCACTAATGTTAACGATCAAAAATTACTAATGTGAATGACAACAAAAATATCAACATATTTCCTCAATTGATATTAAAATACATCGATAGTATATCTATCAATCACAAATTACAATTTACATTTCAGTACCTACTGTTTACACAGTCATCATTCTGCATAAGTGCTGAATATATGTGAAATAATGTTTTTTGAGATAATGATTTATTCAAAATCGATTCAGAAGTTCAAATATACGTCATAACTTCTTATAACTGATACATATATAACTCATACATCGAAGTTTTATTTTATTTTCTACTTTTATTTTAAGAAAGTTGTCACAATGTTCATACATTGAACTTTCAATTTTTCTTTTACTTTAACGAGTTAAAGTTGGGTGAGTTGGCTTGTATATATGAAAGCATATAATTCATTTTATTTCAATTTCCAATTTAGACCCGGAACATTTGCCATTTCACTTTTTTAAGTTATTTGTCCTTGTGAAAAGTATGGAATAAAATCACCCTAAATTAACGCCTACAGCACAGGCGCCATTTTTTCTTCACCAACGATATGAATGACTACCATATCACATAAGGAGTTCATTTGGAGCATAAGTAATTTTTTCTGAGGTGGCTACCCGGTGTATTTGTCGTTAGTGTCACTTGAAAACTTGATTTTTTATACGCCTACAAAATTGAAATATATCATTCCCGTTGATCAATTGAACAAGATGAACTTTACTTCGGATCAGAGGTGGTGCTAGATATTGCGGGGCCCAGTGTGATATAAAATGAACGTTCATTTTTTTACAATTTTTTTATATTTTGATGTGAAACATCTATAACCCAAAATCAGCTGATTGCAAGTAGCGCTCGAATGCTTTTTTTATTTGTTAGTAACGGACCAACATTTATTTAATTATTTGATTTTCCAATGATGGTGGAATTTATATTGAAATATCTATTGTTAATATTTATGATTAAAGAGTCAACTAGTATATTAAAGCCGCATTGAAATTTTTTTATGTATATTTAATCACATATTTTTTATAAATATTTCAGTACCCAACAATCATCACAAGGGTCACAAAATATTATTATTGATGTTTCACATTTGCCAGGCATTACTTGAAATTTCACAACTGTTTTTGTATCTTGCTTATGTTACAAATACATGCAGGCCTGTGAATTTTGTAAACTTTGAAACATAAAATATATTTTGTACTTTAATAATCGTAAAATACAAATTATGAAATTATAAAACAGTAACAAAAATTAATTGGCGCTCCAGGGCGACTTCATTGATTCCAGTGGCGCATTTGCTTTTTCAGCTGCAGGAAAACCCGGAAAAACCTGCAGCATCACATCGTCTGAAGATCTTGATCTGCCAATATCCTCTCTCTCTCTCTCTCATAAAACAAACTGTAGGATGTCTCCAGAGGGTCCACTAAATTCAATGCATCGCCAGAACACTTAGTAACACGACTATCGTCAAACTCAAACCAGTCCCTTTCGTCTTTGACTAAGGCGAAATAATGATTAGATTGAACGCCAGAACCACAGTGAATATTGGCACAGGGAAAAGTAATAAATACGAATGATTTGACAAAGTAGTTACTGTGTTTGGTCAACTATGTGCCTACAAACCAAATAAGTTAGTATTTGCAGCAAAAGCTAACAGGAAAAATAATATTCAAAATCAACTTTTCTTTTTTTGGTTGAATTCTATCATTGAATCATCATGATTAAAAAAAAGATGGGAAAGTTTTTTTAGGCAGCTGCAACTGTAACAGAAATCGTAACTGTAGTTGTTATAGCTATGTTAGGGTATATTTCACCTAAATTGTAATCGAAGCTTTTTCCATTAATCCTGTCTTTTCTGTTCCTTCTGGTGCAATCATGATGAGTGAGAATAGTTTTGATTTTCCAAAGAGATTCCTTGCCTTAATGTCATGATGGTCTCCTACAGAGAGTGTGATTTGAAGACCTTTACATTTGCAAGTAATTCTTTGATCTCCCAGTAATGAAGGGGAATTCAATCGATAAAAAAACCGAAAGTGCGGTTCCTCTGCAGTGACTTCATATTGGATAGTTGTTCAATCCTGTCAGTGTTCATTGTGCCGTCTTAAATTATTGCAAAGTACTTTTTGCGTAAAATATTTTTTCTATCCTGGCTATAACATGGCTTACCAATAGCTGAATGAACTCATTTTGAGTGTATTTCCTCGAGTAATGATTCTTAGTTATCTCTTTTGACTTAGTTATGAGTCGACATCATTTTTATGTAGAGTCTAGAATAATCGTCTCTTTATGATCGCGAAATGCGAAATGTACGATTGCTAAGAGTCTCCAAAATATCCTTCCTATTCTGAACTTCAGATTAGATTCGAGCTTCAGTCTCGAAATTGGTAATTTTGTTGATCCAGTACAACATTTTATAATAATTCCTCTATGAGCTTTGGTATTTTCGAAGGTTTTCAAAATAACGCTTCTTGCCAATCTCGGTACCAACCTCCGAACTCAAGCTTTAATTGAAATTATCTCTTCTTTGCATTATTTTGGCACTTCCATACTCATATCTTCTCCATTATGTATCTATCACGGAAAGCCATTTCAATCATATAGTTGAAAATTAAATTTGTACATCTACAAAATTGAGATATATTACCTATTCCTGATGATTGTGAAGAAATAAAAAAAAAGTTTAATCGAAAGTTGAATTTGTACACCTACTAGATGATTATTCCTGGTTACCGATTCAACAAGATGAATGTTACTTCCGGATGTTCTACCTTCTACAGTACATTTTTTTCTCTGAAGATAAATAAAAATGAAAATACTTTCATTCTCCAAAATATTCAACAGATAGTATACCATCTGCTTTACCAGTCCCGTGATCCACGTTTAATAATACTTAATTATATTTTTGTCACTTGCTAATTGCCTAAGTATAAGAAATTGAATTATTCTTTCCGAAAATATTATAATATGAATAAGAATACAAATTGCAGTAAATTAAGATTCAATTAATATGTATATAAGGAAAATGTGCCGCAGTACTGGACAGCACTGACCTCAGGGACGCCAACTTTTAACTCGGGTTATTAACTCGATCGGTTTTGAAATTAACCACCTGAACATCAGTTTTAATTATTCATATGTCATTATTTGGGAAAAGTTTATCCCCGTTTGGCTAATATAAAGTTTTGGGCAAGAGCCACAAGTCAACTTTTATACCCTTGATCTATTCGACAGTGAAGACACTGGATAGATCACATGATTCAAATTGTTATTACATAAAGTACTTATTAAGTAGAATTCAGACAGTATGAAAACACATGCGGTTTTGTAAACTGTCCTGTGGAAATCACACAATGAAATGTTACTTGAATAAGTTATGGATTTTCATCAAGTATCGGTCAATTGAATCACATACTATTGAGTACTTTTGTTGTAGTTAAAGGCAAAAACAAAAAACATGGCTCTTTGTTCTTTTATAGAAATGAACAGTGTTTTTCATAAGGAGTCTCTCACACCCATCATTAGATTGATAGAGGAATGAAACTTCAGGTGAATACAATCAAACAAGTTTCTAAAACTCATTGAAGTGCGCAACCCAATGACCCTGGATGACATTCGAAGAGCCCTTGTGAGTTTGAAAAACTTTGCTGCTCCAGGCTATGGTTCACCGACATCTGGTCATGGCTGGAGGGAGAACAGCCAATTTCGGATTGGTTTGTCGAGATATGGAGCATTTTTATCACCAAGCGCGGAGGGTTTGTTGATTCCTGAGAATTACGAACTAATAAAATGCTTAAATTCGTGTTATAAGTTGTTTACGAACATCTTATACATACAAATATTTACCTCAGTTTACAGCGTATTCAAACGGATGTATGAGCAGAGAGGGTCAGAAAGAGGAGTCGCTGAATATAAAAAGAACCTGCTCATCGATAGATCTGTATCATATAGATGACCTCAAGTTCTATGCCTCCGGGGCAAAAGATCTCAAAAGACAACGATGCAGGGATTACGAACCACGCCACTTACAATAGGTAGTGACCTCATTGGAGATCTTTTCTCGCGGCAAGTATCAGCACATACTACGACAGATCTGGTCATCGGAACTGTCAATGAAGAACACAGTTACTGACACAAATATGGTTGCCGTACAGATGTTACTCTACTCCTTTGTAGCAGTCAAGTGAACTCAGGAGGAGCTGTATCAGCTCGATGAAAATACTCAAAAAATTATGCATTTCCATAGGAAATTGACTAACTCCTCTAGACTCCAAACATAAGATTTAGTTTTCTTTAGAATCTGTTGAAATGGAACTTCACTGTTTTTTCACTGGACTCTTCATATGAATTTAATGATGATCTTCTCCTACTTTGGTTCTTTCTTTCAAATTTCTCTCTCTTGTGTCCTGTGATCATTAGTTGAATGCGTTCGACTCGTCCAAAGAAAAAGTTCTGTTTGGCTGCCTGGGAAATTTCAGTTAATTTTGAGTGAGGTTTTATTCAAAAATTATTGTTTATATTATAAAAANGAGTCGCT